GGGGGGGGGGGGGGGGGGGGCAACTCTTTACCCAAAAAAACACGCTTTCGCCAATCAAAATAAAATACGCGTGGTTGGCCAATCAAAACAAAAAACACGCAGCACGCGCCTCCAAGAAAGCGACGATTGGTGACCTACACCATGCAGCCCTTGAACGGGCAGCCCGGACACCGCTTCGGCGTGAACCGCATCCTGCGGCTGGGCGAGGACAGCTTACTCTCCGCCGGTCGCGACGGGGTGGTTCGGCGCTGGGACGTTTCCTCGATGCTTGATCAGGCAGCAGCAAGAGGGAGCGCCGGCAGCGGACGACGAGATGATGGTGCGAACGAACGCTTCTCTCGCCCTGTTGAGGCGTTTTCGCACGTGCCCAATAGGTTGGTCTTTTGTGCGGCGGCGGCGGCGGCGGCGGCCTGTATCCGGTCTGTCTGGGCGTGTTTCTTGTCTGTCGATCAATCTTGACCGTGGAGCCTACTAAGACACCAGTTCCCTGTTTGGTTTGACGCCGTTTGGTTGTCGATTTGGGTGCTTTCATCCAACTTGTTCGCGCATGATCCCCCCTCCCCAACACGCAAATGCCAGGATCACACAAGCTAGCGCCAGGAGAGGAGAGACTCAGGCAACGCCATTTAGAGCAAGCTCGTTCCAGTGTGTATTTTTTCGCTGGTTCTCTTTGAGCTTTTTCTTCCCGATATTGTATGCTTTTCCTGTCTACCCCCCCCAACACCAAGCGACGTACGCCCCCAACACCCGGTTGCGACCCCTCCCCCCACCCCTCTCTGTCCAACGTCGCAACCATTGCCCACCAGCCGACGACGCGGACGAACGGCAACCGCAGCACCCTCAGCCACCGTGCACCGGCGTTTTCGCCTCCCACACGGACTGGGTCACTGGTCTCGCAGTGGCCGAGGGCCGCATCATGGCATCCGCGTCCTACGACGGCACCCTCAAGCTGTGGGACCTGGCGGCCGCGGATAGAGCCCGCAACACCGACAAAGACGGCCGAGAAGCAGCAGCAGCAGCAGCAGCAGCAGCAGCAGCAGCAGCAGCAGCAGTAGCGGTAGTCGCCGCGCGTCGAATGGAGGTCGGGGGCAGAAATGAGGAGGACCACCGACGGGAGGGGCTAGGGGGGCAGGGCGAGGAGGCAGCAGGAGAGGCGAACGGATTGGGGACAGGTGACGGAGGAGACGGCGTGCGGTTGGTGTTTTGTGGGCCGACCGAAGTACGACGTGTGGGGCCGTGTGTGGGAAACGTTCTTCAGCGTGCTGCTTTCGAGTTTTGGTTCGGGTGGAGTGGTAGATCCTCAAACGGTGGGGTCAACGCTAGAACCTCTCATATCTGTCACCTCCCACTTTCTCTGAGGTTGCCGGGTAGTCATAGTCGACATTTGAGACAGAATCATGCGCCGCACATCCAAAATTTTAGACAGCGAAGAAGTTGCGAGCGTTTGCCACGCGTTCAGAGCAGAGGGACTGGATTTCTCGACCTTTCACCTTTCACCATCCGTTGCGTTTTTTTGTTCCAACACAACTCTACCCTCCCCCCCTTTCGCTGTGTGCCCTCCAGGCATGCATGGAGGGCAAGACGCCGCTGCGAGAGCAGCGGCATCGAACAGAAGAACGCCGCCGCTGCCGCCGCCTCCGCCGCCCCTCCGCCCCAACGCTTTGGCCACAGTCGCTGGCCACGGTGACTACGTCAAGTGCCTGACGTACGCGGAGCAGCGCGGCGTTCTTGTCTCCGGGGGGCTAGACAAGCGCATCCTCTTGTGGGACCTGCAGCGGATGTCGGCGCCGCTGATGGTCCTACGCGGCGGGTCGGGGGCAGCAGAGGGCGGCGGCTCGGACGGCGGTTGGGGAGGAAGCGCGAGCAACAACGCGATGATGAACTCCGCTGGCTACTCGCCGGCCGCGGGGCGACAGCACGGGGGCGGGCAACAACAAGGCGCGGGGGCTCCGTGGTTGAGCGACGAGGGCGAAGGGGGGTGGCCCCACCTCAGGGACCCCTTGCGCGTGGCGCTGAGGGCCGGGCAGGCTGCGGCCGGGCCGAACGAGGTCCTGGAGCTGTGTCGGCAGAACAAGGGCTCGGTGCACTGCGTGGCGGCCGCCGCGGACGCGTCTCTCGTTGCAAGCGGCGGCACGGATCGCATGATCCGCCTCCTGGACCCGAGGGCCGGCGGGGGGCAGGCGGCCAAGGTCTGCAAGCTGGACGGGCACGGGGACAACGTGCGCTGCGTGAAGATCGACGAGGGCGGCACTCGCGTGGTGAGCTCTCTCTCTCTACTACTCTCTCTCTCTCTCTCTCTCTCTCTCTCTCTCTCTCTCTCTCTCTCTCTCTCTCTCTCTCTCTCCCTCTCGAGCGAGACTCCTGTTGCTTGTGTAGGTTTCCTGTCGTGCTCATGATTCGCTTGCTTTGTAATCTTGCTGGCTGTCGCTCTAATTTTCCTACTCTCTTGGTGCAGTTGTCTGGCCTGTGTTTGGCCGATCCTTTTGGCCGTGGAATCGTCTCACGTACCGCTTCGCTTGCTCCTGCTGCTTTGGCACCTGATGGGTCAGTGTGACAAGTTGTGTACTCGTAAGTCTCCAACCTGCGCGACAGCCGACGGCCGGTTTGTGCTTGCAACGGTTCACCATCGATATTCGAGCGACCGTTTCTGCCGTCGTCCTCCGTCGTTGCTGCACGCGCGCCTGCCTTGCCTGCCTCGCTTCTGGCCATCCCGCCGTGCATCGTCGTCGTGGGGCTGCCCGGTCCTTGGATGGCGTCATTGCACGTCATGTCGTGTCATGTCATGTCATGTCATGTCATGTCATGTCATCTCGTCTCCGTCATGCCATGTCATGCCATGCCATGTCATGTTGAGGTGTCTGGCTCCTCCGACGGCACGATAAGGGTGTGGGACGTGCGGCAGCAGTGCTGCCTGGGCGTGTACGAGCTTCCCGGCGGATCGGTGTGGGCGATGCAGCCGAGGTGCGTGTAGGTGATGTAGGGAAGGGGTGAGGTGAGAGTGGAGGGGGGGGCGCCTTAAACGGAAATTTATAC